GAAAAACTAAGTGCCCAATGTAAATGATAAATCCAAAGTTAAAGAGTAAGCCCCTCCCTTAACTAATTTTAAAAACATATAAAGCTTTTGGTTACAGGCAAAGGGGGATCCTCCTAAGAGAGGCTGCTACTTTGTCTATGAAGTATCTCCTTTCTCACTTCTATACCTGATAAATCTTTGGCCCTCCTTCTAAACGACTTGCTCTTGAATTCTTTCTCAAGCAAAGCCAAGAACCATCATGGGGAGGAACCCGAGGCCCTCCCTCCCACTTTTGGCTATTTTTTCTCCCATCACCCACATGTTGTCACTGCTAAGAACAAGTCCCCATACAGTATGTCCCTGTCCATTACTGTATTGATCTTCCTACTGGGGAGAGACGACCCCGACAGGCCATGGTGTTTCTCCTGGGGAGATGATTCTGCCTCGGTGACCAAGGGTGCACTAAGCCTGAGCGCTCAGAGGTACCATTCTTTATATTACACTGAGGGTGACAGCCATTGGTTCCCCTAAAATGTGCCCTCCAAATAGTGTCTGTGGCATGGGAGGGCCTTCCCACTGCTGCTGTGGAGCTTTTTCTGCCTCTCACCCACCCTCTTCCCAACACCAACGGATTCTCACGTCATAAACCCAGGTTAACAATTTATTGTCACCTTCTGTCAAGGTAGGCTCTCCCTTGGAGACCACTGACGTACTGTCTTCCTTGAACTGTATCTCCGCAGTGGAGAAGTTCTGGGTCTGGAAGCAGGCACTATTTAATACACAGAGGATAGAGACAAAACAAAGCGCAAATTCTCTCAAAATGCTTCCATTCTTTGCAAGGCAGGGGCAGATAATAAATAAATGAAGACATAAGTAAGATAATATTGGATAATGATGAGCGTTACAGAGACAAAAAGCCAGGTGAGGTGATGGAGAGTGGCCCCTAGGGCTATTTTCAGTTGGGGAGTCAGGGAAAGTGTTCCTGATGAGGTGACATTTGGGCTGAGGTCTCCGCAAAGATGTGAGCACTGCCTCCAGGCACAGGAAAGACAGAGAGGACAGTCAGTGTGACTGAAGCAGAGTGACAGGGGAAAGTGGTGGGAGCTGGACTCTGGGAGGGGACAGGGCCGCATCCTGGACGGATCGGGCCTGACACCCCCAGGACAATGAGCTAGAAGGCCTCTTCCAGCTTCACCATTCTCAAGTCCTAAATTAAGACTTAGAAAGCTCTCTACGCCAAATGTGATTCTGTAATTTGGCAACCTAGGTTGTGTGACAACCAATTTTGAATTCTCTTATTCTGATCCAAGTTCTTAATCACTATCAGAAAAGACAGTTTCTGACTTTCTTATGGCTGCAACTTTTCATACCCTATTTTTCCCCCTGGTACAACCTTATATAGCCCAAGTCTGTTAGAGGAATATTTCTGCATCAAGATTAACACAATTTACTGGTACATATCTGAATGGATATTTAGCATCTAAGTGGAGCCCAAAGGTCAGGAAATGAAGATTCTTTCTTTGTCGTCTTTTATAGACACTGTGCCTACTCCAGACCGGTGATGGGGAGGAAAGAGAAAGGCTAATTTTCCCTATTGATGCTTCTGTTGTTTCAAACTACTCCCTCTGCTGCAATCCCCCAGGCAACAAATGAAGCATTGTGAAGTCTTTAATGGTTCTCTCAATGGGCAATTATACATTTTTTAAGATAATAAATCTTGTCCATAGTGCAGCTGATTACATTCATTTATGAAAATGACTAAAAATAACGAGTTGAAATTTCTTCTGTCTGGTTATGTTGAGCGGATCATCAGAGCCATAATCGAAAGCACAGCAGACCTGGCATCAGGAGAGCTAGAGTTGAGGCCAGCTCTGCTCCGAGCAACTGATGTGACCTTGAGTAAATGATGTCACCTCTCTAAGCTCTGCGTTCTGACTTGTATGAAAGGGAGAGGAACACTGCACAGTATAGTTTGTCTCAGAGTTGATGGGGCTGGTGTGTTACAGGAAGAAGCCCCTCCAGCTTTTTACCCCGGGAGGGGCGGAATATGCATGTTTGCTTTATGACTCATCTTTAAATTGTGCACATTTGCTATATTTGTGAGATGTATGTTTCACAGTAAATTTCAAAAGCTATCAATAAATACCTGTTGATATACTTGACAAAGTAGACGCAGTATGAGTTTTCCTCTGGATCCCTTAGCAAACAGACGAAGCCTAGGTAGAAGACAAAACAATCTTTCCCCTCAAATCAAAACATGTTCTTTTAAAAAAGAGTTTAATTGAAAGAGTAATCAGTGAAAATTTCCAATGAAACAAAAGGTAGCATATCATGTTTAGTACAGCCTCCTCCCACCCTGCTCCTCCATTCCCCCCTCACTGGAGGCTTTTTAGGTTTCTTTCCATACATATTCTGGAAAGCAAAAAGCAAAGAATCCTAAAAGCAGCAAGAGAGAAGCATATAGAAACATTTATGTGCACACCACTTTTCTTACATAGATGAGAGGACATTATACATGCTGCTCGGAACTTTGCATTTTTTTCATTTATCTTGGGGATATTTTAATGTCATTCTTACAGATTTAAATGCATTTTTTTCACTGTATTTCATTCTATGGGTGTGCTACACTACATTTCACAAGACCCTCTGATAAATATTGAGGTTGTTTTTGCTCGTGCCCACATTTCTGCAATGACCATCTTTGTACTTCTATCTCCTCATGCATATATGAATATATCTGAAGAATAAATCCCAAAGTGCAATAGATGGATCAGATGGTAGACCCACTTAAATTTTAGTAGTTAATTGCCAAAATGCCCTCCAAAGGGATAGTATGCCTTCATACTTGATCAACAGGTCGAGAGAGTGCAGCCCTTCTGGCCAATCCCATGAGAAGTGCTCTGTTAGCCTTTTTATTAACAAATCTAAGAGGTGGGAAATAGCATTTCATCATTTGAATGTATTTCTTTAACTATAAGTGAAAATGAGGCACTCTTTTTTTTTTTTCTCTGAACTTCCTATTTGGGCCCACTGTCCATTTTTCTTTTGGTTTCTTATTCCTTATTGCTTTGTAACAGCTCTTTATATACTAGCCCTTTGCAATTGTTTTCCAAGGTCTATGGTTCTCATTTGTTATTGGCTTATAGTATTTCACCTCTTGCCGAAATTTAAAATTATTAGACAGTCGAATTTATACATTCTTCCTATATAGTATGGGGGTTGTTTCTTCCATGGAAAATTCTTTCCTACTCTAATGCCATTATAAATTTTTCCCCAGATTAGTAAGTCGGAGGGGGAGACAAACCATGAGAGACGATGGACTCTGAAAAACAAACTGAGGTTTCTAGAGGGTAGGGGGTTGGGGGGATGGGTTAGCCTGGTGATGGGTATTAAAGAGGGCACGTTCTGCGTGGAGCACTGGGTGTTATGCACAAACAATGAATCATGGAACACTACATCAAAAACTAATGATGTAATGTATGGTGATTAACATAACAATAAAAAAATTAAAAAAAAATTTTCCCCAGGTTTTCTTCCAGTGCTTTTCTAAGTTTGTTTTTCACTTTTAGCTGTTTTATCAATATTGCTTAATGGACTTATTTAGTGTAAGGAGTGAAGGAAGGATTCAACTTTTTGCTTTTCCCCCAGATGTCTATCCAGCTGTCTCAAATCCATTTCTTAATAAGTTCTCTCCAAAATTTTGAAGTGTCACATTATTGGGGTCTAAAAATTACTGAATCTATAAGTTGAAAATAATTGGATGGTAAATTGATAAATTAACTAAGTCATTCTTGGCATGTTTAAGGAACTATCTAATACAATAGCATAAATAGCATGTGCTTACTATGTGCCGGGTCCTGCTCTGAGTGTGTTACATGTATTCACTCATTTAATCCACATAACCATGGTAAAAGGTAGGTGCTATTAGCTCCATTTACAGATAAGAACATAGAAGCACAGAGAGGTTAAGTAAGTACCCTCCGATCACACTGCTTGTGACTGGCAAAGCCATGACTTGAACATAGGCAGGCTGACTTCAGAATCCCTGCTTCTGTCTACACTCTCTTTTGCCTCCACGATATGGAAGATACTTTTGTGGGTGCTTCCGAGATGGTTCTAAGAACTTCACATAAAATGATTTCACTTACTCTTCACAACAATCCTAAGAGGTAAGCACTGTTCCTATCTCCATTTTGTGGGTGAGCAAACTGAGGCAAAGTGTAGCTGGAAGACAGAAAGGGAAAAGAGAGTGGTGCGAGATGAGTCCAGAGATGGAGGGTTTTCATTCTATCTTTAGGGCAGCAAGGAATCACAGGAGTATCTGAATCAGGGCTGACCCACTCAGATTTGGTCTTTGTGACGTTCTCTGGGAGCAGCATAGAGAGTGGATGGGGGGAAGGGGCTGCAAAATGGGTGCGGGGAAACCAGATACCGGGCTCATACCATGCTGCAGCGATCGCCTACCACAGGCAGCCGTCCAGTGATGAGTAGGTAGTATCCACAAGGCATGAGAATGACTCCCATCTGGGGCAGCATCCATGTGCCAGGGACAGAACTCAAGATAGGTGCTTATAGTGTTTACACTTTTCAGAGGAAACCAAAGTGTCCAGAGGTCGAGTACCTTGCCTGTGCTCGCCCACCTAGTAGGTGCTTACTCCCAGCCACCAAGCCTACCCTCTTTATTCAACCCCCATGGAGATTGAGCCCTTCAGATGCTGGAGGGCTGGCTCATGACAGCCTCGAAAACTGGATTTAGCAATTCCTTCGCCATCCTCTGTCTTCTCAGTTGGAAAGAAATCAAGGATATTTGGTTGACAATATTGATAGATGAACTTCTGTTATCATGTATCTTTAGGTCTTTTAAGAGGTTCTCTTTCAGCTGAGGTTAACTTTTCCTCAGACTTTTGCATGTTCTCCTGAGATTACTTTGTGAATCTTTATAACTGCTCTTGTCTGGATAAAGGTCAAGTTCAGGGCCCACTGTCTTCTGTGCTGCTATTAACCGCCCTCTCTCCCTGCAGATCCGGGTGATGGTGGACCTCTGCAACAGCACCAAGGGCATCTGCCTGACAGGTAGGCCGGCCTGGCACTGAGGTGCTCACACTGCACACACGTGTGCTTGCCAAAGGGCCAGGGCAAAATGAACACCTAAGAACACTTGTGGGTTATAAAAACACATATTGGTTTATTTTACCAGATGTTTTTAATGAGCTGAAAATCAATTGTAATATAATTATGAAAAATAATATTTTTGGTATTGCCATAGAAATATAGCCCTGGAAAATAACTAGGTCTTGGATAATTAGAAACTTGTGGTACCTTGAACGGGGGCCATAGATGTTTTCCTTACTCACATTAATTTTTAAAAGAGAAAAGAAAGAAAGGGGTATTCTCTTACCAGAAGTAATTATTTCCTTATACATATGGCATGAACAGAAAGTTCTAGAAGCAAACTGCTAATTAGTCAGGAAAACACTCTCTGTGAAGAGTGTTCTGTGTGTGGTGTCTACCATGTGCTAGGCGGCTCCCCTCCACTCAGGAAATCAAGGACAAATAGACCAGAGAGAATCAAAAAGGAGGCACATCAAGCCAAGGGACAAAGAATGGCTTATGGGTTGGACAGGGGAAGAGGAGAGCGCTGTTGATAGACCCATGTGCACCTGAACCTAAAGTGTCCTGCCTCTTGCCTGAGGGGGTGTGCCTGCCTCCTGTCTGAGGAGGGGTGCCCGAGTCCTGCCTGAGGGAAGGGTGCCTGATTCCCCTCTGGGGTGGGGGAGTGCCTGATTCCTGCCTGAGGGGGGAGTGTCTGCCTCCTGCCTGGGAGTGGGTGCCTGCCTCCTGCCTGGGGGTGGGTGTCTGCCTCCTGCCTGGGAAGGGGGGTGCCTGATTCCTGCCTGGGGGTGGTGGTGCCAGATTCCTGCCTGAGAAGGGGCTGCCTGATTCCTGCCTGAGGGGGGGAGGTGCTTGCCTCCTGCCTTCAGAAGCTTTGGGCAAGGAAGAACACAGACCCCAGAATGGTCACCCAATTTGTTTTACCCCAGACTGAGGAAGGCTCTGGCCAGGCCCAAGGATGGGCCTACGGAGCCTGATTTCAGACACAGCTATTTCCCTGCCTCTCCCCCATTCTGAGGAAATGGGGAAATGATTTTGCATTAAAAGTCTAATATGGAGTAAATGCACAGCTCTCATGAACTTTAAAACATAACCACAAGATTTTTTTTTTTTACTAGTGGTATTTTTTATTGACATTCTAAACCCACACAAACATTAGTAATCTAGATAACTAGATTAGTAAAATTACATAATCTAGAATCAATGAACTAGAATGAAGAAACTCGATAAAATCAAACCTTGAGGTACATATTTTTCTATAGAATTTAAGTACTTCACAGTGGCTGATTTATGAGCAATTGTAGAAATTTTGTGTTTTGAATGTTGTTTTGAGATTAAAAAAAAAAAACAAAACACGCTGATGCTGCATAACCACAAGATTTTGAAGCCAGATGAATCTTCTGTTGAACCTTCTTGGTGTCTGGCCTCAGGCCCTGGGGAGGTCCCGTTGACAGGGCGCCACTGGCGGAGGTTAAGAAACCCTGCAGTGTGCATCCAGCCCTGAGAACCCTCATCCTGTGTGTCAGCATTCTCCCCACCACCACTCATTACCTGCCCTGCACTAGGAACTCAGTGGGAGTTTGCTGAACGACTAGACCTGTGGTTTATGGAAGTGATTAAATCGGGGCGGCGGGCTGGTAAGAAAGATCCTTCCCTGAGGAACCCCGAGTCCACAGTCTGCCTCTTGTTTGCTTAGTTTAGTTTTAGAGAGAAATGCTGTAATCCTGTGGCTTCTTGGGAAATGCTAATTGAATTACTCAAGTCACATTTCGGTCCTCACAGAAAATTAAGTGTCTTTGGAACAGCTTGGTCCTTCATTCTGAAACTCTTGTGTCTGAAGCACCTTTCTTCCATCTTTGGAAGTCCTTTTCAGAGTTCCCCTGTGTGATAGTAATGAGCGCTGGAGAAATGCTCAGATGGATGGAATTACAGGCACAAAAGCCCCGTTGAGAGGCACAGGAAAAGCCTCTTCCTTTTTGATATTTATTATAGAAGTGATAGAAGGAGAGCCAGGCTGTTCAGTGAATGCAGATGGAGCTGTCAAGACCACTTAGGGAAGATTGGGGGGTGGGGGGGTGGGAATCGCATCTGTGCTGGAAATGAGTTGAGGAGGTTATTCTTTGGCACCTTGAAATCTTTTCAAAAGCCAGCACCTTCTCCTTTCATGCCAGCTTGAAACTGGGCCCCCTTTTAACACAGCAAGCTCTTCAATTAAAACTTAGGTGTGAAAAGTACACATTGCCTAGTGAGGTTGTACCTTGGGATAGACCATGCTGTCTGGACAGGGGGCAGGAAGGGGACAGGACCCAGGACTGAATTGGCAACTGCAGGGGGGAAGGGCAGAGAGCCTCGGTCCAGAGCCCCGAGAAGAGGCTGCCAGAGCAGACCCTGGGCTTAGGGCCCGAGGCCTGAGCACAAGATCTAGCTTTACACTGGACTCATCTTTGAAAAAGCAGGCACTGTGACTTGAGGCTGATCTAGCTGTGACCACGAAACCCCATCCCTGTTCCTTTTTCCTGGAGGCAGCTGTCGTTGCTATGGGGACAAGGACAGAGGTGTGCAGCCTGTAACCTCTCCAGCAAATAGTGAGGGCAATTCAGAGCTAGAGTACTTAAGAGTTTTTGCTAGTGCACAGTTTGTGCTTTTGAGCACACACAGCATGCTTTTCTGGATGCATCCTATCCCCAAGCCCAGATTTCCTTGGGACCCCAGGAACATATCTTCTGGAAAAGCAGGGGTCTTGAAGAAGGCAGGTTCTTGGGTAACTCTTCACTTCCAGTGGCCTCTGCATGTGGGCCTTTTCGGAAAATCTCTAAACCATCACATTACTGAACTGCTTATCAGAGCTGAGGTGCTTCAAAGCCACAGTGCCTGTTCTCCTTCTGGCCAAGGGACTCCAACCCTGTGATGGTACTAGTTACTGCTCCCTATCCTGTACCCAGGCGGACGCTGAGAATGGACCAGAGCCACCACGGAGCATGGCCTCATGTCATTCTTTTCCAGCGTTCCAGAAAGCTGTGCTAATGGAGGAGAACTGGAACTTGAAAGAAAACCTATTTGCCATCCCTACTCTAATTCCTTAAGGTTGTCATGCCCTAGTCCAAAGCAGAAAGGCACCAAATAAATGGGATTGGACCAAAGCTGCCACTTAGTGGGGACAGATGAGGAAAGATGCCTTTCCAAGTTAGGTGCCCTGGGACTGCAGCCACAGGGGGGGGGTCCCGAGGCCGCCGAGCTGTGGCCAGGGCAACACGTAAACTGACAGGCTGTTCTCAGAAACAGCCACTGTAGCTGCTCACGCTCTCACTCAACTGGCCTCCCTGTTGTTTTAGAGTTGGTGGACTCCAGCTCCACGTGTGAGAGCTAGGGCCCTCTCAGGCCCTCCTTAAGGACAGCCAAGTATTCCCGACTCCCAAGGGAAAGGGGAGCCACACTCCCTTTGGCTAGAGCTCCCGTCTGGCCCCAAAGCTGTGGCTGGCGTGAGTCCCAAGCCCTGGGGAGTCCCTGCTGGGAACAGGAGAGGAAGAGAGTCAGGACTTTCGACCTCACAGGCGCCAGGTCTGGCCTTATCCGGCTTAGGAAGCTGCGGTCTTTTACTAGCTCTTTCTAAAGCGGCAGAACCAGACGTCCCTTTCTGACATGTTTCGATTTGGATTTTTTTTATTTGGGGGCTTCTTTGGGTTCCTCTATCAGTGAGACTTCGGGAAATGTGTAGCCACGTCCCCTGTGGTCATTGCTTCGCTAAGCAGGTGCCTTGGGTCTGGCGACAGCCGTTGTCACACCATCCCAGGGTGAAAGGGGAGGCTAGTGAAATCCTCCCCTGTGATTTGGAGTGGCCGTGTTGAGAGGAGCCAGGGGCGCGTGCTCTTGGGAGCCCTCAGCGGGGCCAGTGCCCCCACTCAAAGACGGGAAGTGAGCGTTACACTTCTGGATTATTCCTTCCTCATAACTGGTGTGCCTGTGTTTCCCGTCTACATTGAAATTCTTCTCTTCACTAGTAGCAGAGATACGCTAGAGCTTATTTGAGGGGAAAAAAAAGGTCAAGAGGTCACCAGTTATTGTAAGGATAGAGGGATGTGTTTGTCAAGGTAGGTTATGCTCTGGTAATAATTAAACCATAAAATCCCAGTGGCATAACACAGCAAAGGCTTTTTTTTCCCCATAAAGTCCACACTCCGAGTTGGTTCTGGGGACTCCGGGATCCCAGTGCTGCCATCTTGTGGTTCTGTCGTGTCAACACCAATCACCACCTCTCCTCTCCTCTCTGCTCTCTCCCTGCAGACGGGCGTTGTTTTACCTTGCATGGCCATCCACAGACCTCCAATTTACATAACTAGGGGCACTGTGGGTCAGTCTTAGATTTCAAGGAGAAAAAAACTCCAAGCGACTCAGCTCCTATAGCACCCACCCACTTCTAACCGATTCTGGTTAGGAATGTGGGTTGGGGCAGTCAGCTGGGGCATTTGCAGGGCCCCGTGCAAAATGAAAATGCAGGATCCCTTGTTCAAAACGCAGGAAAAGGGCTTTCTTCTTTCTTTAATGGTTTTACTCTCCACCTGCTGTGGTGGGGTTTTTTATTTACTATTTTGTGTCATACTCCTCAAGTCGTGGGATGCTCGCAGAACAAGTACAGGCCCTCACAAGCACAGGAGACCCCACTCTGTGATGAAGGCATGCAGGGCACATGTCCAACCCAGGCCGCCACTGGTGTGGAAGGTGGCAGCAGTCGCTGATTGGGCGGGGACTGGGGCAGATGCATCAGAAACCCGGGAGGCAGCAGAAAACTTGTCCTGGAGAGGCCAGGAGGCAGTGGGAAACAAGGAGGCAAGTGGGAGGCAGGACCATATATGAACCAAGGCTTCAAGTCCCCACTACATGCTCCATTATCCCATCGGGCCAGCCCCACATATGGTGCTAACATGAACTTGGCTGTCCACATATATCCCCAGGGGTTCTGTTAGTCAAGAAGAGAAGAGTCAAGAGCTGAGAAAACATCCTGAAAAACAGTTTTCTCAAGGCCCAGTTGGCACATATTATCTGACATTTGACATTAGTATAATGACACATATTTAGGGCTTTTTCCAGGTGTAGGGGGCCCTTGGGCAGCTCTGTAGGCATCCCGAGTGGGCGTCGGGATACAGGCTCACCGTCGCTATAGCACTCTGCTTCTGAGCTCTTTGGAAGGTTTGTCTTCTTTCTCTTTTGAAATTCTCTTCTCCATTAGTTTCAGGGCTCAGGACCTCCTGAATTCCCTCCTGTACCTTCAGTTCACTCTCTCTTTCCTGGTGCCTCTTCTATCATCCGCCTCCCTCCAGATGTGGTGTGTGTCCCCCTCTCTCTCCATCCCACAATTTGGCTCAACATTTTACTCTTGCCTCCAGACGAATAGCCTTTCTAAGGGTCAGGGACCGCTTTAGGACTCTGTTGACAGTGACCGATTCTTTTTCCAGAAAAGTTTCACATCTGGCCAGGGGTACCCAGGACTATCCACTCCCCAGTCACCTGTGATGCTTGGTGAAAATGCATGTTCCTGGGCCTCACTCAAAATACAAACTGCATTAGAATCTCCAGCTGGGGTCTGGGTATCTGCATTTTAACAAGCCTTCTAGGTGATTCTATGGACTCAAATGACTAAGAGCTGTAGCCACGGGTGTCAGTGAACCTCAGGTCAATGTCAGGAAACCCTAATCTAAACATTTCACCGTAGTGACGCTCTTGGCCATGACCAAAGTGTCCTAAGTATATAGCTCTAGCCAGGACCTCTCTCCAATACTCCTGCATAGAAATGGTTATTGGACTGTCCTGAGAACTCTTGAGACCTATATAGACAGCCGATTCCTGCTTGGTGACCTTTTTTCTACCAATCTGCACCTCTGAATTTGGTTCCATCTGTAGTCTGGAATGATTGATGGATTTCTTCTGACCTCCTTATGTGTGTACGGACACACGCCATCTGGTGGTAAAGTCATGTCACCACAGGCTACACTTTTCAGCAAATCATTTTTGCCCAAGTGGGACTGCATGGATGGAAAGTATATATTCAAACACTTCTTCTTCCAAGACTCGTCACATCTCCTTCCATCCGTATCCTCAGTTCCCTGTCATCTGAGTGTCCCCTACCCAATCAGACATGGAGCTCATTCTTCTGCCAAAATACCTCTTGAATTCCTAGCTTTCTCCACAACTCTACAGTTACCAACTGATTTGTCCACATCCTTTCCCCTCATTTTAACTACAAAGATTCTCTGGGTGTTTTCTCCCCACCCCACCTCTCTTTTCTCTCTCATCTTGTTCCCTAGTTGTATTCAACTTCCATCTACAGAGAGGATCTCAAAAACACACTGATTTCTCAGTGTCATCCCCCATTAGAGACCTACTGTAGCTCCCCACTGCCTTGCAGACACCACCTACACCTCTCCTCTTGGTGTTCACATGCTGCCGCCCCACACCCACCCCTCCAAGTACTGACTCAGCCTCATCTCTACACACACCAGGTTGGCCAATCTTCCCCCTTTCTTTCACCCTGAATCATGCAAGTTCCCTCCCCTGTGCCTTTGCTCCTGGCTGGTCCCTGACCTGAGCTGTCCAGCCATCATGCCTGTGGCCATGTCAAGCCCATTGTTTCTTCAGTGCCACAGCTCAAGCCTCACCTTCTCCGGAAGCCTTCTCAGACTGCCATGTTGCCAGTACCCCTTGGAGGGGCTGCTTCTCTGTAACTCGCTCCCTTGTTTCATTGTGGTTTCAGAGTGTCTACCTTTTCCAGCTAGATTATAAACACAACAGACACAGGGACCAAGATTTCTGCTGCCTGGTAGACTTTTGTGCACACAGTAAATGCTTAGTAAATGGCGGTCTTCTGAAAAGTCACAGACTTGGATTTGTAGAATGACCTTTCTACTCCAACATGGGTAAACATATATGTTCTGGAAAAACAGAAGGACTTCATCTGCTCACATTATAAACCCATTGGCTTGTCTGAGTGCTTAAATAAAATAATTGACAATGAGACTCTCCTATTTGTGGAAGCAAAATTGTTTTGTTGGATTATGTGTAAATGGTTCATCTGAACCCCTTAGATCCTCAGGTAATTACACACTAAGCAAGGTGTTTGTTACCTGATCTGGACCCTCAGTTGTTCTCAGGCTATTTCGTGCAACAGAATAGAGAACCAGCTTCTGCTCTCAATCGCTCTGGGTGGCATGAAGGAGACACGCTGGCTGGATGAGAGCTCTTGGGACTGCTTTCTCACGACAGCCAGACCTCAGCCCTGCAATGACAGCACGCCCATTTCCTGATGCTTACCTGGGCCTGGCTGCACTAGTGCCCTCCTGAGTTTTTATCAGGTCTCATTTAATGAAGCTGATTGCTTGAGAGATGACTGATTTATGAATCTATGGTGAAGCCCATTCAGAAATTATTCTTAGTTCATTGAAACCTAAGCAAAAGTGGTTTTGGTTGGCAAATTGTTGAATTGCTTTTAAGGTTCTTTTGAGTGAATGTGCTGGGTTCTAAATAAAAGGCGTGGAGTGGTTGCTTAGGGCCAGTAGATGGTTAGTACTTGTTAAGAGGGGGAAAGTGCTCTTTGATTTGGGGGTTGTGGTGCTGGCTTCACTTCCTTCCAGGCATGCTTTATCATCTAAATTCCTTTTTCTGTTGTAGGCCCACCTGGCCCACCAGGTAAGAGTCTGTGGATTTTCTTACTTCCAGGGGGAGGATGTGGAGGGCTAGTTCCCCAGGGCTGCTCAGAAGGGGTGGAGGCGGGAACGGGGGAAGAATCCAGAGTGTGTCCCCCTCCCTGTCTCGACCCAAATCACGAGCTCTCCTGTCCCCTCCCACCTGAGAACCTGCCATTACCATTCCCCATCTGTCACTGCATGGGGGGGCAGGGGGCAAAGGTGGAAAAGGAAGGGAAGAGGCAGGAGAAGATCTGGAAAAGGCACTCATGCCCGTCCAGTGTCGCTGGCTAAAGCAGATCATGTTAAGCTCAGTGACGATTTTTTAAGATGGTCTTGTTTCCCGTGTTTCGACGCAGGACCTCCAGGAGTTGGTGGGCTTCCAGGACACAATGGATCAGATGGACAGCTTGGTCCCCAGGGCCCAAAAGGAGAAAAGGGAGCACCTGGAAAAAGAGGAAAAATGGGTATTTTGGCAACTTTTCTAGTTAATTCCCTTGTTGCTTGTCTCAGTTATTGCTTTTCAGATGGGCCCAAGCAGGATGCGGTGGGGAGAAAGTGTTACCTCTTTGCCTGTGGGACCGGTTTAACTCTCTCCGGGAAGCCACTGTGTGCCAAAGGTTTATATCTACCTGGAGAGCGGCCTCCCTGAGAACTGATCCCGGCTCTTCTGCTCCTCGGAGGCAGATGGAGGAATGGAAGGGGCCAGAGCTGGCAGCCCTGGGGAGGGACGCTCCAGGGGCTGTGTGCTGATGCCCCAAGTTCTTTTGAGGCTCAGGTCCTGCCCTGCCCTCCCACTGCCTCCTCCTGCCCAGCAAATCCTTGTGTTTGGCTGAAAATCAGCTGATGGACGCCGGCCCCTAGGTGTTCTCGGCTAGAGGAGCAGCTAGGACCATTTGAATAGCAGGGTAGCATCCGGGCCCCCCTTAGGCGGGCACTCAGATCACATGGTCCTGGCATCGCAGGATGACGACACCGCTGTGGCTGGCCTCTCCGGAGGGGTTCTGCTGCCCTGCAGCGAGGGGCATTATGGCAAAGTCCTGGAAACATCCGTGTCAGACGTGTCCAGGGAGCCGTGAGAAGCGGGGGCTGGTGCAGGGCCTGGCAGGAGCCTGCGGGCCAGCGAGGCAAGTTCTGAGGGGCCCTGAGCACCAGTGCTGGGCCGTGCATGGAGAAGGCCTGGAAGGTGCACCGACGAGAGCTAGCATGAGGCATGGTGGGGGCTCCAGTGCAGAGGGTAGAGACTCCCCAAGAGGCTTCCGGGAAGGCCAGGCTCTGAGCCACCTGCGGACAGTACCGACTCCACCAAACCCTCTTGTTTATTTTCAACCTCTTAGCTCTGCAACGCCAACTCACCTAGACAGGCCCTGTGCTAGAATAACTACTAGAACATTCTTCCAGATGACATAGTACCCTCTTCCAGCACCTCTGCTCTTCTAAGCACTTTAAGTGAGAACCAGCGGAAAGGGAGAAAATTGTTAAATGGCTCTGCCGCTTGGCCAAGCCGACATGCTCATGTTCCCGGGGAGCAGCCTCTGTGAAGATGGGCCCACACAGGCCAAGTCAGCTCAGTCCTCAGAAGGCCAGCCATTCCAGCTTTAATTACGGAGCAGTAACGGATCCTTACATGTTAGATAATAATCATAATTATAAATGAGCATCGGCGTTGAATAATGATGGCCATCAGGGTGCAGACATTTGGTTTATCCCAGAAAGGCCCCAGAAATGTAATCCAATCCTGAGGATTCAGCAATGAGTATCCTGAGGGCCAGCTATGAGGGGGAGGAAACCACCGTGGTTCTTTGGGTATGGAACAGGTGGGCAAGGGGTGACTTTCAAAGGGGTGACTTACAGATCCCTGGCTTTGGAGAGGTGTGCTTGATATGCAGCCCACAACCCAGTGAAGCCAGGACAGGAAAAGTTCATTCATCTCTATAACACCTATTTACATGGCAGGTCCTGTTCTAGGTGCTGGAGATCTAGAAATGAAAAAGCTGACAAAATCCCTACCTTCATGAAACTCACATTCCAGTCTGGGCAGAGTGAAAATAAACAAGCTAAATAAGTAGGAAAGAATCATCTGTTATGCGGTGCTGAGTGCTACAGAGGACGCACAGTGTCAAGAGAGGGAATGACAAGTGTGTGTATGCGGCGGGGGTGGGGGGTGGGGTGACTGCGGACTGGGAAGCCAGGTAAGGGTCCCTGAGAAGGAAGGGAGCAAACACCTGGGGGAAGGGAGAGAGGGAGCCAGGGGCTATGGAGGGGGGTGGTCCAGCAGAGTGTGTGAGGCCGGTGTGCCCACGGGGTCTGAGGAGCGGCAAGGCGGCCGGGGCGGATGCGATGGAGTCAGGGCCAGAGAGATAGCGCCAAGTCAGCTAGGCCCTGGCATCGTAAGGACTGTGGCTGGTACTGCGAGGGAACTGGAAGGATTGGCAGCCGCGCAGAGAGCTAGCTGCCCTGCCTCACCCGGCAAGCCCCGCCCCCGGCACGGATGCTGAGAGGGGGCCAGGGTCTGCTCACCGGGGGAGGGACCAAATCCTTGGTCTCCGGGGGATCCCACGGGACCTCCAGCCGAAGACGCAGACCCTCCTCTGCAGCTGTCTCCCCGTGCGGGAGGCCTCCGGGCGTCAGCGGCATTAGAACGAGAAGCGTTCGCTAAAGCTGAGCAGAGAAGTTGAGTCACTAAAGGGCCCAGGCCGTTGTCCCTGCCCCGGGCCAGGGGAAGGGGAGACCACCACCATCCTAGACGTACAAACACAAAGAATGTCTGCCGAGCCTGGCTCTACGGAGAGGTTGTTGAAAGCACATTTCCACCGTGGGTCAGCTCCGCCCCTGCCCCGGGCCCTGAACCCCAGCGCGAGTGCCCGGTCCCCTGCCAAAGCCCTGAAGCTGTGTGTTCCCTCCTCTGCTTCCTTCCTTTGCCCGACAGTGGGCTCACGTCCTACCCAGCACTCAGTGTTCTCGCAAGGAGGAGAGCGCAGAGCTGGTCAGGGGACCTGGGCTTTGTTCAGCGAGCACTGGGAAGACACTGAGGGGTTGCAAGTAGCAGAGAGTGACAAGGTCAGGTCTGCTTTTCTAAAATAACACCGTGGCCACCACCTTGTGGAGAGCACACGAGGGGAGCAAGGACAGAAGGAGGGAGATAGTTCAGAAGCTACTCAGTGCACAGGTCGAAGGGATGGCAGGCCAGGGGGATGGAGAGCGCGGTGGAGTTGAGTGATATTCTGGGGGGAAATCAGCAGTAGCCAGTGGTGGGTGGATATAAGGAGGAAGGGGGAGGGGGACCCCAAGACCGACTGAGATCTCTGTCACTGATGACCGCTCTGTCCTGAGGAAGGGAGCCCCATATCAACTCAGGTTCAGAGAAAGAAGAGTGGCTCAGCATGGGATGTGCTGAGTTTGAGGTGCCTTGAAACGTCCAGGAAGAGATGTCGGGGGCCTTGGAGATGCATGCAGATCTCTAGTCAGTGGAGACCCTGGGGCTCGAGGTACACAGGATGGGCCCCCTGAGGCGGTGCGCATGTGGGCGTGGGCACCGTCACCTTTGGAGGGAGCTAACAGAAGAGGAGGGCCTGGATTGAGCCCTGAGAAGCAACAACATCTAATGACCAAGTACGAGGGGAGTGAGCCAGCAAAGGAGGCCAAGAACGGACTGAGTAGCAAGAAGACCAGGAGAGGGCGGGGACATCTGTCAGCAAACATTTATTGAGCAGGTTCCAAGCCCTAGTGCGGAAACAAAACAGATGCAGCCCCTGGAACTTTAAATCTTTGGTGGGAAGGCAGAAATTAGAAGTCAATAATGAAATACATCTGCAATCACAACATGAGATACCCATCTGAAGGAGAGAACAGGGGTTAAGAGATACAGTACAGAGAGGGAGGGTCGCAGAGGTAAAGTCTGAGGTCAGACTTGAAGGATGTGAGCAGGCGGAAGGTGGCCCAGGTGGAGTGCACAGCACCCACAAGGGCCCGACAGGTGTGGCTGGGGGCAGGGAGGCGTGCAGAGAGGCCTTCCAGGACCTTCTGATTAGTAGTATGAATCTCCTGCTCGGCTCCCAAGAAAGCACGGCAGGGTCTCATACAGGATGTGCCTGCTGGGCCAAGGTCATGACTGTGAAGAAGGAGGCGTTGTGACCCCGGCCAAGAGTTCCGGGATCCACAGTGGTTTTGCCAGGCAGGGCTGGGAGAGAGGAGGGGTGGGCGTGCATTCCAGAAAGAGAGAACAAGTGCTGTTTCTAAAAACAGGAAAAAGAGCCTGTGTTCCGCAGAGACGGTACTCAGGCTGGATTCTGCCCTCTAGCAGTGATCCTCTGAACAATAGTATGCAAATAGCTAATATCTATTGTCAGGCATGCTACCAAGTACTCTCTATACTTATCTCATTTGGTCTTCAAAACCACCCTCAGGAGATGGATATTTTTGTTGGCCATATTTTTTCCAGATGAAGAAGCCCTATCTTTCTGTCTCTCAAACAGGTCAAGCCCACCCTTGCCCCAGGACCTTTGCACTGCTGAGGCCACTGCCTGGAATACTCTTTCCTTGCCCTTCCCACAGCTGATCCTGGTGCAGGTCTCATCTCTATTGCCACCCCTCTTCAAGTTCGTCCCCCACCTCTGTGTCTAGCCCCTGCCTCATTCCTGTTGTGTCAAAATACATAACCCTTCCCGGAAACTCTCTCCTTGCGTTTGCTTTTGATGCACTGATGGTCTGACCCCCGAGGAAGGATGTGAGGTCCATGACAGCCAAGCCATGTCTATCTTGCTTAGTCCTAACCTCCAGGGCCTGGAACACCCAGCGAAGGGGGGGCAATAAAGTCCATGTTGACACAAATGGACATAACTTGTCCACTGTCGCAAAGGTAAGAAGTAGAGGAGGCAGGACTTGAAACCAGGTCTCTCTGACTCCTGGACCCCTGCTCTTTAACAAGACTACACTGAGCTTCCAGGCTGGGGGGCGGGGGGCGGGGGGGCTGGCCCCCAGCTGTGAGGGTGGCGCCTCCGAGGTGCCACAGGGCAGGAGCTGATGGGAAGGAGGTCAGGCCTTGGGAGCTAGTGCCATTAACTCCTTCAGGACGTAGGGCGGCAGACCCCCTCCAGCCTGAGCCTGATGCTGAGTCTTACGGGGAGGGCCAGGAGGCAGGACATGTGCAAGAATAGCCTGGCAGGCAGAGTTGATTATGTGCCTCTTAGTTCCTGCTCTCCAGGCAGGGGAAGGAGTGGAAGGAGTCCCCGAAGCCCCTGCCTCAGTCCCCGACCGGCTCCGAGGCCTTGGGCAGGTCCCTTCACCGTTGAGCCTTGGTCCCATCTGTAGACTGAGGAGGTCGGGTTCCCACAACTCTAACAGGGTTTCCAATTTTTAAATAGTCTGCTCTAGTGCTTGTCCATGAAGGAGAGACCGTGTCTTATACGTATTCGGTTACTCGGCACAGCTCTCTCCGGGCCCAGGTGAAGCTCAATAATCGATGACT